CATTATATATGTATTGTTGCGTCATCGAGGTCACGCGACTAGTATCACGCTACATCCTTCTCGAACCTTCGTGAATTATCGGGAGACTACTAGATTGGGGTAGTCTGGTATATATAAGGCCGGCCATGAAGCAACAAGACAACAAGTGTGAGAGTAATTGAACTGCAGTCAGAGAGTGTGTAATTTATCCTTAACTTTACACTTGCTTATCTTTTGTATTTCAAAATATTTCTCTGGTTCTACATGGAGTTTAAATGTATGAATCCACGTACTTAAATAATTTCCTAAAACAATTCATCTCAGAATGATAAATTTGTGAATAAATATCTTTTAACCTTTGCTTAGCTTATTGTACAAATAATGTTTTGTTTTCTATCTCTCGTGGCAAACAAAAACGATAACAACTAAATCCATAATTATACAACATTTGTTTACGCTAGATACCCATGTTTGACTCTTATTCATTTAACAACCTAATTATATCCATTCAGTTTTGCAAAGTTTAATCTGAACTAATACCAAAATTTATTATTCACTTGGTTTTGTTTTTGAATGATCTCGCCAGATTATGTGCATCGAGGGCTTGTTTTGCTATAAGTGCAGAGCTCCCATGATAAGACATTAGAGCTGAGTTCATTATTCCTAAACATTTAAAGATCAGAATGACTTCTAATATTTTATTAATTAAATACAGTTTTCAGCTTTTCTAAATATCTAAATACCACGATTTTCTTTTGTTTTTGTTAACTAATTTTGAAGAAAATTAACTTAATAGGAGTATCACTAAAAATAGTTACATCATCAGCATATAACAATGAAGAAATATCTTTTTCATAATCAACTTCAGACAGTTGCTCAATTAACTTGTTAATAAAATAACAAAGAAAGAAAACATCTTACGAAAGAACTTGCCTACTTCTCTCAGAATATGTAGAATTGTCTGATCCTCGTGTGTCTTAACGTGATTTTAATTGTCTGTATGTGCTTTGTAAAACTATAACAATCTGTTTGTGGATGTCAAAATTAATATTTGTATTTCATAAGAGTATGTTAAACAGAGTCTTTAATAAAGTATATAAAAGCAATGTATAATTTTCACATTTTTAGAAATACTTTTCTGTTATGCAGCATAAATGTTTGATCAATTACATTATTTTCAAAGAACCAGCTTATTCTTCAAGTAGACTATTTAATTCTGTCCAGACTTTCAATCTTTGATGTAAAGTTTTAGTAAATACTTTGTTATATTTGCTCCTCCTGTATTTGTTACTAAATTAAACATTCTACATAACACTGATCATAATTCATCTATAAGTTTAAGCTTCTTATCTGTAATAGTGAATTTCAGGAGCTTTATTATTTAAGAGACTTGCAAAAGCAGTTTTTGCTTCATTTATATGTCTATTAAAAATGTTATTTGTATCAACATTTCTCAAAGTGGGGTCCCCCACATGTCTGAAAGTAAATATATATGAAGTAAAACATTTAATTTTGGAATACAGCGGTTCCTTTACACGGCATCTTTTTTTTTTTCAAATCGATAGACTTGTGAGCCAACAAAAAAATTTGATTGAAAAGGGGTCCTTGGGTTACTAAAGTTTGAGAACTACTGATCCAAGTTTCTTTTCTTCTATGTAACATATTTTACTAGTATATGTATTTACACTTACCAGTTCTATATCTTCATTGTGATCTAATAAGTTTTTAAAGGATGAAGTAATTTTATAAATGCTGTTTTGGTAACAGTTATATTGGGGGTTTATTTCATATGCTGCTACTTTGTCCATGGTACAAAACACAAATAATTGTTTTGTTATATTGTTATATAACAGTTATATTGGGGGTTTATTTCATATGCTGCTACTTTGTTCATGGTACGAAATACAAATAATTGTTTTGTTATATTTGTTATATTACAGTTATATTGGGTATAACAAAACAATTATTTGTGTTTTGTACCATGAACAAAGTAGCAGCATATGAAATAAACCCTTGTTATATAACAGTTAT